TSGATCTGGACCAGGCTCCTTGCAGCCTGTGGAACCCTGGATGCTGTCACCAAACGGTGATTCACACGCGAYGCTCTGGGGTTTTGATTGATGAGCTGAAGGCCTACCCCCGGGTTTGAGTGTGCTGCTTATTAAGAGCCCCACTTTAAAACTGAAAATCAAGCCCCCATTTTGTAAAAGATACTGATATTTTTCATTCCAGACTCAGATTTCCCATGTTGCCCRCGTTGAGGGCCAGGAGCGAGGTCCAGCCTGCTGGGACAGGCTGGAACTTGGGTAGGAACTTGGCTCTGTGAGAAGCCAGGGTTCTTTGCAGGGTGTGTGGCCACTCAGCAAGCAGAGTCGAGGCCATGGCACACCACTGACCCTGGCTCTGCCTGGTGCCTTTCCTCTCGGCTAATCAGGGTCACTTCTTCTGGTGCTGGGACTCTTTCAAACAAAACCAAGTCCTGAAAGAGCCTAAACGTTGACAATTAAGAAATAAAAAAACTACTTAAAAAACCCACATAGAGGGGTACTGAGAGGTAGGGGACTTCCAACAAGGTTCATGTGCAGGAGGCGTGGTTCAAACAGTGCCAAGTTCCCTTATCCCCCTCGGTCACCAGGGTGCGCCCGTGGAGCCTCTGCACTTCTGAGGAACCCGTCCATTTCTCCTTTGACCAGAGGGAAAGAAATCATTATTACATGATCAGTGGCTTCGCTTAGGTAAAAACATCAGTGGCCGGGAGGGCGTGGGGCCCGGCCGTATTAATTACCTAGCGCTGGCTGGCAGGATGATCTTATCAGTGACGTGGCCACTGGAAGGCTGCAGCTCTTCACGGAAGTGGGGAAGTTCCGAGCTGCCTGGGCGCGGGCGGGAAGGATGGTGTCAGATGAAACGCAGCTCATCAGCTTTTCCCTGACAAACCAAATTCATTCCTTATGTAATTGATAACGGCCTTGGCCAATTATTTCACACATTACAATACACAGAGGCCCCCTTTGCAGGTTTTGCAGGGCTGTAATTAGCTATGCTAATATCCCCTTTATTGGCCCTAATATTGCTCAACACCTTTTGCCATCCTGGAGCCCACTGGAGCCCCGTGGCCTGTCAGGACCGCTGATTATTGAGAAGGATAGCTTTAATCAAACATAATTGCAGTTAATTTTTCTCTCCTGCTCTCTGTTGCCAGCGTCTAATGCCACGGACTCCTTGATATTCCATTAAATTACAATTAAACAGCCTCCTTTGTCTCTGATTGTCCTGAACAACACCACAAAGTTCTGTAGCCGTTTAAAGGAGAGCTGTTTGGTCCTAATTGCCTGCTAGCTCACAAAGGGCCAATTTACACAATGCCCATGTAGAATTTAAACAGTTCATAATGTAATGGATATTACACAGGAGCCTAACACTACAATTAAAATGATTTTCATCAGATAGAGAAGCTCTGGCTAATCAGCTTCATAAAAGTAAATATAAATGAACTAATTCATAGTTTAAACACACAGACACGGAGCTGACTTTGAAATTGGTTGTCGGGGGGGGGGGGCTCGCCCCTCATCCTGTGGTACCTACACTGGGCTCTGGTGCCAACACTGGACCCGTTATTCGTTTGAGTCCAGTTTAAATCCTCCTGGGCTGGCTGCCACCCTGCACGCACGTGGCGACTGGAGCTGTTTGTTGGGACCCTGATCCTGAGGCCGGGGTGACTGGACTATCCCTTCTCTGTGGGGAGCAGAGGACCACACTGGTCCAGCAGGACAGAGGAAGGGAGGGCCCGGAGTTTCCAGCTTGAACTCCGTGTAATCAGGTGTAATCAGGCCCCCTGCCMCTCCATCACTGTCCTCTCAGGTGAGGGTCCCCTGCATCCCACACTCATCATTGGGTGCTCAGGAGTTAGAAGAGGAAACCGCCCACACCCTGTGCTCTAAGACAGAGAGCGGTGCTGCAGGACATCTCCCTGGTGCTGTGGGAGAGGAACCCCATTTCTTGAGTGATAGGACCACGCCTCCCTGCTAGTGACAGCTCCTGAGAACTTTCTGGGATTCTGTGGGCTGTTTCCGAGTAGAACATTACGGGGGAGCAACGGACGTGGAGCAGTTTGTCTTTAGCCGCTGTCTTCCCCTCTGCCTGGGAGAAACAAGTAAATAAAGCCCATATTTCAAGCTTGATTTACTCTGGTACCTACTGTGAAAGATGATGACTCTTTAGGGAAATAAAGACGGGGTCAGGGAATTAGTGCACATAATGGTCATTTTGCTGTCGGGCAGCAGATGCAGGGAAACACACTGTACACAATTAAGCATAATGTACTAATGACAGGTTAGAATTTTTATCGCCTCTTTGCGATCGAGCAGCAAATCCATGTTTAGCAGTAATAAAGAGTTTATTGGTGCTAAAGCCAAAGATTTTCTGACATAGGAAGGATTTTTCCTTTCATAACAAGAGTRTTAAATCCTTTGTGTCCTGGACTCTGGAAGTGAGATATGTAAAGTGGTTGTCAGATATTTCTTAGGAGAAAGCCAACTGGGGGTGATGGAGTAAAGGACCGAGGGCCGCTTGACTCTGCCTGCCGGCCCTTCAGCCTCCTCATCCCTCCCGAACCCTGCAGGTGTGTCTGGCCAGTACTTGCTGTGCCACCTCTGCCTGCGAAGGCTTGCTGGAAAGCCCCAGGGACATTTCCAAAACGCAGGCAGAGGATGAGCACCAAGCCCCTGGGTCCTCTGTGAGTCTCCCTCTGTCCTACAGAGGTCGCAGCCACCTGGCGAGGAGTCTGGTGACTGTGTGCTTGATGGCACTTGAGTCACTGGGRCCTCTGTACTTAAGGACCCTGCCCTCCAAGGGGATCTGGGGATCTTTCTGAAGTACTTGCCCTGYCCTTGGACGGGACAGCCTATGATTGCCACATCGAGAGGGAGGGGGCAAGTGTGCGTTCCTGTACTGTGGACCYCGTGGGTGCTCCGGACACTTACAGGCCCAGCACCCAACTTCCTTGTTAAGGCCCTGGGGGCCTCCTGGCCATCAGGGCTGGGGCGAGGGCTACCTGGGATATCTTCCAAACCCGCTCTGCTCTCTTAGAGGTAACAGGGTGAACTGGCTAACCAGACATCCAGGAATTTAAAGTACCGTCCTCTGAAGGGGGAGAACATCTTTTATTTCACACAAAAAGCTCTCACTGCCAGCTCCGTGCAGGTACCTCTGTAGACGAGCCGCTTCTCGGGCCGGCGCCTGCTCAGAAGATTAGCCGGGTGTAATGTGGGGCGTAATTGCACCGCGTGGCTGTCCCCCAAGTGAAAACCTAATTGCCTGACAGGACGGTAACTTTGTGGCGCCCTCACCTTGTTAGGCCCTTTCTGATGCAGTTCAAATGCAGTGTGGCCGCAGGTGCGCCTAATTTACCTCGCCGCAGAATGTGTGGAGTTTAATTGCACAGTGGTTGTTAGGAAAAATTGGTGGGTGGAATATCAAGTGACTTGCCGTGGCTGATGGCAGATGGTGTTAGGAGGCAGTGTGAGCTAAGTGTATAGGTGAGGTGAGTTAATAAAAGATGTAAATTCTGGCCTAAAATAGCGAGGCCTCACGGTATGTAAGAAAATTTAATTAAATGGCCACCATTCTTTCCCCCATCGACTGGGTTTTCCTCTGCCACAGTCAGGAGTCTTCCAGGATATGTTGAGGTTCCAGTAGAGAAATGAGCCTCTGTCTACGGAGTCTGCATTTCTGATACTGTAACTGCCAACGAGGAACCTTGAACACCACGCATCAAGGAAATCACGTGAAACCTTATAGAACATTAATCATCACCAAGTAGGACAGATGATATTTTGGGAGAAAACAGAAGGTTTTGGGTATRACCTTGCTGGAAAGCATGCTCTGACACCCGAGGATAGGACATGTGTCAGCAGAGTCCACTTGGGCTTACCACAGAAGTGGCCTTTGCAAGAGGCGTTGCACAGGGAGAATCCTGTCTCCCCGTGGGTGGTGGCACTGCCCGATGTCTGCCCCTTCGGACAAAAAGCCAGCACATCTGCCTTTGTACCTGAGCTTGCAGGAATGGGGAGGACAGCACAGTGACGTTTTTATAAAAAATATATTGATTTATTTACTTATTAGGTGTAGATGGACACAACACAAGGCCTTCATTTTTATGTGGTGCTGAGGATGGAACCTGGGCCCCGCCCGTGCTAGGCGAGTGYTCTACCTCTGAGCCACCATCCCAGCCCCCACAGTGACGTTTTTGACACAGCATCTCTACTTTGTCAGGACTCCTGAATCTGACTTCCACGGACACCAGGGGAGGGCTTGGCGGGAGAGGGAGCTAGGTCTCGAGCCTGGCCTCGCCACTCCCACCTGGGATGTTGCCTTGCGCCTGTGCTCAGCTGGAGCCAGTTTCCTGACCACACCAAGAACTGTGCACTGTACCCTTGCGCTCAGAGACCTTCCCCAGAAATCATGTCACTCCATAGTCCCTTCTTCTTGAGAGTTATTGAACTTTTAACATCTGTTTTTAAAAGTGCRTTTGCCTGGGCGGGACTGTCCTCTAGAGCTGGATTGCCAGGTCAAGATGTAGCACATTTAATTGCAAATAAACAGATCTTTTTTATAATATAGGTGTGTCCCAGAGCATAACAGAGTCATTTGTTTCCTATCTCAAATTCAAATTCAACCAGACGTCCAGTGTTTTATTAATTGAAGACAGAGCCCTGTCTGGGACGATGCCTTCCCAAAGGGTGATGGCTGGTTGTGTGAAGATCCAGGCGAGAGAAGGCCAGTCCAGTTTGGGGATCATGTGCCAGGCACGTGGCAGCCAGGGCTCCCAAGCTGCATGCACAAGAGTCCTTGTGCTAGCTGTGGACTGGGCACCCTGTACCCTGGCCTGCGCCTTCTCCCAGTATTACCCACTTCCAGGGCAGCCAGACGCAGCCATGAGTGGTCTTMACTGTGCCCTGGCACAAGTATTTTTCAAAAGGTTGGTCTTTTGTCCGATGATTCTAACTATCTGTGTTTTGTGTTTTTGTAGATTCTTCCTAAAGTTTTTCCTCAAGTGCAATCAGAACTGTTTGAAGAATGCAGGCAACCCTCGGGATATGCGGAGATTCCAGGTATGCACCCCAAGGGCAGGCAGCCTGGCCGGCTGCTCTTGTAGTATCTGAATTCACTGATTTTGCAGTTGTTCAGAAAACAGTCTGTAGTTCTCCAAGGGCCAGTAGCAAACAAGACTTACCTCATTTGAAAACTCATGTGACTAAAACACTTTAAAACCGACCTGGTGTCTTCAGGGTGCCAGATTCATGGAGCCCAGTCATGGTCCACAGCAGACCTGATGTCAGCTCTGAAAATGTGGCCGTGCCAAGGATCTTATAGGGATTGATGATCGATTGATTAATGATTGGTTTTCAGCTTGGGAAGAACCATATGCAAACTTTCAGGAAATCTCAGGGTCTTGGACCCTCCTCAGAGAGAGGTCTGCCCCTGCCTAATATAGGCCTCTGCAAATTTCAGAAGGCTTTCCCAGCCCCCTCTACCTGTCCCGGAGGTTTGCTTTTTCCAACTTCGTCTGTTTCAGCCCTGGCTGCYGGTCTCTTTCTGGCCCAGGCTAACTTCTGTCCCTGTTGTCCTGGGAGAGGATTTTGCCTATAGGAGAGAAGAGAGTGGGCTAAGTTCAGGGACCAATTATTAGAAGAGTGTTTGTGTTTTTCTTGCCTTTGTGAGTGGTGAGGGTACAGGATTATTTGGCCAATTTGCATTAGATAAATATTCTGGGCTGGAGCACAGAACTACAGCTGGTACCTGCCAACCAGAGAGGAAGTGGGTGGCTGATGGGAGTGAACACTAGATGGATGAGTTACCTAGCAGGTCTTGTTTGGGACATAGACTGCTTTCCATCAAAGAGCTCAAAGTGTTTTCAGGAAGCTCATAATGCTTCAGTCCTTTAGGAAAGCACATGGCCCCTGTGCACCCTCGAAGCTCATCAGGAAGGCAGGATCCCTGCCCCTCCCTCCCTGCCCACGGTGGCCTCTAGCCAGGGAGTGATTCTTGCACACTGTTGGGTCCCCCTGTTTTTCATGCACAAGGCTCCACAGGGCATAGGGGATATTGATCCATCTAAACAGAGTGGAGGTCACACTGGGCAGAGTGGCCGCACCTTYTTTGTCTCACAATTGACCCAGCATAGCATCAGTCACGGCAACCTCAAGGTTGACCATGGAGCTGAAGGGCCTAGGAGGACTTCCTCTGGTCTCTAGTGAATCTTCCTGCCTCCTGGAAGGTTTAACTGGACTTAGGCGTTTGTCAAGGTTCTTAGGATGCTCTACGCCAGCTTTGGCACCTTCCCAGGTGCTTGSCAGAGCTGGCCCAAGAGGAAATGCATAGCATGCATTTCTCTGCTGAATGGCCCTGTTTTCCCTGGTGACGGGCCTAAATAAGGATGACAGAACMGAGGTGGTGTCTTTAATTTTTATTTTTACCACTTCTTGTTTCTTTATTAACATATGGCCTAAGAGCTTAAGAAGGCCAAGTCCCAGCCTCGACATTAGCGGTCTGCATCAGGCTTGGGGGATACGTTCAGGGAATTCCTTTCATGCCCAAAGGGGGCCTTCAGGTGGACCCAAGGAGGGCGCCTGGGTGCCCAGGAGCAGCCCTTGGCTCCTCCAGGCCTGGCCTCATCATAGTGGCACCAGTGTGCCCCTTCCAAGGCTCCAGAGGGCAGTGCCAGTGTGCACAGTGGTGGCATCCACAGCTGGAGGCTCAAATGGCCTAGTGTTGCTGAGACCCCTGGGACCCTGGCAGGCCCAAGGGGAGACAGTGTCAAGGAGGCTCCCCGATGGAGCTCATACTGCCCCCACTTCACGATCTTCTGTGGAACCTGAGGTTTTTAAAAAGCCAGTTACCCATGCACCCATGCATTCACAGACAGATGTGCAGCCATGGCTTCTGTTTTGTCAGGAGTTTTTTGTTGTTGTTGTTTGGTTTTGTGGAATTTTTTTTTTTTTTTTTTTTTTGCATGCTAGGCAACTATATCCCCAACCCTTGGCTTCTTTTTTAAACTCTTAACAATACTATTTACTTGTCTTTAATCACTTCTATTCATTAATTTGAAAAATCTAATTCAGTTTATTTAATTATTAATAAACTGTTTTTATTAGAGCAGTTTCAGATTTAGAAGAAAGTTCTTTAGAAAGTTAGGGAAGCTCCCCAATGCCCTGGTTGCCTCTCACAATTGCCCCCTGATTGACATCTTTGACATAGTGCTCTTTACATTTGATGAACCAACACTGAGGGTTGTTACTTACCACCACCCAGCGCAGCCTTGGCTTGTCACAGTTCATTGTACCTGGATGTCCCTGCTCGCTGCCTCCTGCCATGCAACTTTCTAGGGTAGTGTGGCTCCAAGACCTGCCTTGTCTGCCCAGCTGTGGCAGTGAGCCCGACTTCTTCCCTGCCCACCCAGGCTCAGGCCCCAGGAAGCCCACTGTGAGACCCAGTAAACCTGGCTTGCGCTCTAGCCACTCTGGAGGCAGCACAGCACAGGGACCCACTCATTAAAGAGAAGGGTCAGGGCCACGTTGAACTGTGTGGTTTCCTGGGTCCATTGAGGTACGCTGTTTCTGAGATACCTGTGACAGGCTCAGTGGGAAGGTAGGTGTGTGGCACCAGCAGGAGGCCTCTGAGGGTGTAAGGAGCCCTGACCTGTCCTCTCCCCCCAGGGCATCCTCTGAGCCCCGCCTAAGACTGGAGCCACTCACTCCCACAGAAGGGACAGCACCTGCCCTTACCGCCTTCCCATGAACTGGAGGAAGAATTTAGAACACTCCGCCATTCACACTCAACTTGGTCTTTTCAGAGGCAAAAATGTTCATTACAAGACATTAAATGTAATTGTGAAATTGACTTAGGGATCATTTGCTGATAAAATGTTGGGGAGAGGATGGGTCTTGATTTATGAGACCCTTTTGGGGCAACTGTGAATCCTTACAGCTCTTCAAGGGAGGCTGGTCTCAAGTGAACTAATTTAAATTAGATAAACTCTCTAATCAATACTGAACAGATCAATCAAAACAGGGACTTTAAAATGAGTGGCTAGAGGGGTGTTTCTGAAGCTGATGGTGACAATGATATTTTTCTGCATCGAATTCACTTGTTAGCATAATAAGAGATTAAACTGTAATTAGCGGAGCCAGTCTTTGAAAAGAAGCAATCCCGAGTCAAAACAAAACAAAACAACCCACCCCTATTACCAAAAGAGCTGTGAGGGCCTGGTGGTGGGGTTCCAGGAGGGGGTCTCCTGTGCTCTGCGGTATCCGCGGGGGCTGGCCTCCCTTCGCCAGCTCCATTTTCAAATCCACTTCGTCTTCGCAGGTTGTTGTATCGACAACAGTCAACGTGGACGGCCACGTGTTGGCCGTGTCCGACAACATGTTTGTGCACAACAACTCCAAACACGGGCGGCGGGCCCGCCGCCTGGACCCGTCAGAAGGTACGGCCCCTTCTTATCTGGAAAATGGTAGGCACATGCTACATGTACTCTTTTATTTGCGATGCTTCTTTTCCTTTGCACCATTCTTTATGTCGACTCACGTGGAGTTGCTCTCACCAGGCTGTGTGCTCCCTTGGGCCTCCCTAGTGGTGGTGGCGGGTCCCCAGGGCCCAGGGGGCCAGGCCCCGGGCTTGGTCTCCCTCTCCCTTTGTCAGGTGGTCACCTCACCTGCCACAGCCTTCACKTTCTTGGTTTGTTTCTAAGCTTTCTTTTGCTCACAGCTTTTCTTGCAGTTTTGATTTCTTTGGTTTTATTTTGGCTGTTGGAAGCTCCCATCCAGAAGCTCATCCCCAAACACTTGGCTCATGCTTCCGTGGGTGGTTACACCCTGGTCCAGTCAGCTCAGAAGGCACTGGGAGGACCACTTGCTGTCCCTGGGTGGAGTGTGTACACATGTGTGTGTGTGTGTGTGTGTGTGTGTGTGTGTGTGTGTGTGTGTGCAAGTCAGGATGGGGCTGGGGGTGAGAAAAACAGCATAAAATTTTCTTTTTTCTTGTCAAATGCTTCCAACTGATGGACTTCTTGTTTTGCTTGTTAAAAGAGAATTTCCCTGAGAGGGCAGGTAGGGACAAGTGTCCTTGGATATTGGGAGTCAATTTCAGCAACTCTGGGCCTGGGTTGGGCCTGACATGGAGCCCCTCAGCCTGTCTTTTCCTGCAGGTGCTTGGTGCCCACTACTTTCCCATCCCTGCCAATCAGGAGCCATTTCCTCCCTCCAGTGTCCCATAGTAATCATGAGATGCTGGCCAGTCTGAGTCATTGATAAAGCCATGTGAGAGTTTTGAAAAGTGAGTTGCAAACCCAACAGCAGMGTGAAACCCGTTAGAGCAGAGAGAGTATCCAACCAAGGCTCAGGGTAAATCCTGCACCCGAGGTGGTGGATTCAAGAGCCACACTGCYCAAGTGGGGCAGCTGCAGAAGCAGGGAAATGAATGAAGCTGTGCAGATTGTCACAATGAAACACGATTCAGATGTGGAAACTGGAAGCCGATCTATGAATCTGCTGTGGTCCACAAAAATAAACTAATTTGTTTTTCTACATTAATGACTAAGGTATAAGAGAACAAAAATATAATAATTAAAGGTCGCCTTGAGCACCAGAGTCATTAGAGGCTGTGACGTATTGTTTATCTCCTTCCTATGCACTGAAGGTAGGTGTGTGTTTTGCTTAGCAACCATCACTAATGAGGCTCACAATTAAGAAGGTTGAATCCCCGGTCCTCAGCTCCTGGCTTCCCCAGAGAGCTGGAGCTCGCAATGCGATAGGTTCAAGGAGGCCTCCTCAGCCCTCTGGTGTTAGGTTGTCGTCTGAGTCCAAAATCAGCCTCCTCTAATGAGCTATTATGATCTGAGCAAAGTACAAGTATTTATTTTTATAAGTAGCATGAAAAAGCATTTGACTGTAAGCAGAAAAGTAGCATTTAGAAAAATAAAGGCCACTAGTGGGTACCTTGGAGATAAAACCTAGCTAGTCAAAAGCTATT